AACTACCCAGAGCTGCTGCAGTGCCTGGACGCTCCTCTGCTGAGCGAGGCTGAGTGCGAAGCCTCCTACCCCGGGCAGATCACTGAGACCATGGTCTGCGCTGGCTTCCTGGAGGGAGGCAAGGATTCCTGCCAGGTGAGTCACTCCTTTGCATGCTGAGACCCCCATCCATTTCCAGGCCCCATCTCGAGTGGGACTGAATGCCCAAGGTTGTGGGACTGGGAGGAGAGGGCTCCATGCAGTGGCCCGCGGGCCGCATGGAGTCTCTTCAGGGAGAATGGAGAATAGGCCACCATGAGAAAGAAGTGGAGCCATACCACTCACAGAAACTGGGTCTTTTTCTTTTTTTTAAATTACTTTATTTAACTTTATTATTATTTTTTTAAAGAATTATTTTATCTAACTTTATTTACTTTATTTATTTTGATTTGAGCAGACAGAGACAGAGTGAGAGAGACAGAGTGAGAAAGAGAGGGAAACTGAGAGAGCAAGTCACCAGGTCTGGGACTCGAACTGCGGTCGGTCATGTGGGAGTCCAGTGCTCCTAACCCCCATGTCACCTGCTGGCCCCATTATCATTATTTGTTTTAATTTGACCAGAGAGAAAGAAAGACAGAGAGAGAGAGAGAGAAACTGAGAGAGCAAACCACCAAGTCTGAGACTCGAACCACAGTTAGCCACGTGGGGATCCAGCATCTTTAACCACCATGCCAACTGCTGGCCCAGAAACAGGATCTTTTAAGGACAAAGCACATTTTTACCCCCTTGTCTCTTCTTTACGCAACTTGTCTCTGCTCCTTCCTCCCCAGGGTGACTCTGGTGGCCCCGTGGTCTGCAATGGAGAGCTCCAGGGTATTGTCTCCTGGGGCTACGGCTGTGCTCAGAAGGGCAGGCCTGGCGTCTACACCAAGGTCTGCCAGTTTGTGGACTGGATCCAGGAGACCATCGCTGCCAACTGAGGTCCCCATTCTCTCTGTACTTCCTATGCCAATAAAGTGACTGCACGTACTGCCTGTGTCTGCCTCCTCCCTTCACCCATACTCTGGGGCACAGCCTCCAGTCTGAGGTCAGCCATGGCCCTCTCCTTAGAGATGACCAGAGTCTCCCAGTCCCCAAAATATGTTCCATGGGATACTCAATGAAGAGGTACAATGGAAGAACTAGTAAGCAGAGGGGCAAGAGGCACTGTTTGTACAGAAAAGTATGTTTCAGAAAGGCTGTGTTGAAGCTTCTGAGTCTCTGTGCTTCTGTGGACCTCGAATGCGCTAACACGTGCGTGTGCAGGCAGAGCATGCAAGACCTGGCCTCTTGTACCAAAAGCAAACACACTGAGGGAAACCCCAGAACTGACTGCCTGGGCCCTCTGCAGTCCCCTCTCACACACCCTACAGCAAATTTTAAAATATAATGAACAAATAAATTTTAAAATATCTAAGCTCTTTACATGGAGGTGCAAGGTTCTCTGCTCTTGTCACTCTGCCCTACCCTCTTCTTCCCTGCTAACCTCCATTGCTCAGAAATCCTGGTGGCTCTTACAGCAAATGTCTCTGGCTTCTGAACACTACGGCTCTCTCTGCCTTAATGTTCTTCCAAAACTTCCTTCACTCTCTTCAGAAATGTCATTCTTTCTCCTCCCTTCCTGAGCTGGCCCCCTGGGAGTCCTGCTGCTTCCCATCAGTGTTCTGTCACAGCACCTCACAGTAACCAGCCACAGTGGAAGTGTCAACTGTGAGCTCCTTGAGGGAAGGAACCTTGTCTCCCATATTCTTAGTGGTTATGCAGAATAAGCACCCAGTGATGGAACCAATAAGATGAGAAGAAATGGAAGGACAAGTGCTAAGAAAAGGCTTCAGAAAAATTATTTTCAAGGTGAAACCAGGACTCAACCAGGAGGTCATGAGAAATGAAAGTTCTGGGTCTCACCCCAGACTCGCTGCAGCAGAAATTCTAGAAGGGACTCAGCACACCATCGTTTGTCAAACCTTCCAAGCGATTCCAATGCAAAACTAATGCTGAGAACCAAGGTGGTAGAGACAGCCCTAGGCCAGCATCCCTATGACGGCAATGATAATGAACACTTTCACTAACTGTATTCAGGCGCCATGATAAATCATGTGTGTCATCTTATTCTCACAACAATCGCGTAGTTTTATTCTCCCTATTTTACAGAGAAGACTGGAGCTTAAATAAAATTGGTCTCTTACTCAAGGCCTCACAGACATCGTAGAGGACCTGGTGGGAATGTAGGCAGGTGGGCTTCGCTGAGGTTGCAGGGCCCTTAGGAGGGTATTACAACACCTACGGGAGCCCCAGAACTTAAATTAAGGAGTCGTGGTGAGGTGATGGTTCCACCTCTGCCTTTTCACCACTGGGCAACTTATTTCAGCTGAGAACTTTGTGAGGAAAGTTTTAGATTGAAATGAGTCTATTAATGTGCTTGAAAGATTTAAAGAATTACACATATATAAAAAGTTAACTGTGTTTGCCTCCCCACCTCCCACCCCCACCTTCCAACACACATCTGGAGGAAGGTTGCTTGGAAATTAACTCAGTTTCTTGGTCCTGTCTTCACTGCACCCTGCCTAGTCTTCTCACCCGCTCAGGTGGCCAAGCTCAGATTGCATTTACTTAGGTCTAAAAAATAAGGAAAGGCTGCCCCCTGGTGTCCAGATGGTAAATGACCCCCCAGCCTGCCACCTGCTTGATGGGTCTGCATTCCTTTCATGGAAAAAATGCAGCAAGTGCACCTGGCCATACGGTCCAGCGTGGCAGAATAGTCCTGAGGGCCAGGTTCCCTCGGGATAAAGAAACTATGAGCTGACACAGAGTGCTGTTATCCTTTCTAAGGGCATTTGCGATGAGTTAGATAATCAAAAGGAAATTTTTACAGACAACACATTGACGGGCAAAAATCGTAAGACAGCAAAGCATAAAGAATAGATCCGAACAAATCACTCTGTTGATGACAGCATGCCTCGGTGAGGAACAGTAGCAAGAAAGAGGCCTTGCCACCTTGCGGTTGATGAAAGCCATCCACGGCCTCCTATGCAGCGTACAGCAGAGAATGTGAAATCTGTCACTGTTAATGAGGCCAGTAAATACATGGTTTCTCTCTTCTTCCCCCCTGAATTCTAAGTGATGGGCCATTGCCCCCAGCTGGTGGCACCACTAGACAGCACTCTGTGACTCTCCTCATCAAGGTGAGGCTGCGGGGCTCAGAAATGAGCCCAAACAGAAACACCCGGGGGACTGTTTTAGTTGGTTGTTTATTTTTTATGTAAACTAATAAGCCGAATTCTAGAGAATTTCATTTCAAAAGCTACTCAGAAATCTGCATTTTCTACAAACTCCTTAAGTAACTGCTGCTCCTTGAGCAAATACTGGACAATAAACCAGCTCCTTTACATAGATTGTTCTTCTTGGGAAGAAATAATGATTGTGAATTTAACACCTTTTTTTGTAGGTAGAAGGTTTTCAAATAATAATGCAGAGTGCCACCGAATGAAGCACCACCAAAGCCAGATTAAGTTTAAAGGGAGCCTAATAAAGATGAGCTGGCCCGCGACTACAGCCTGAGGCTCGGGGGCCAAGAGTCAGAGCTGTAGAGCCAGCCAAAGTTTGGGGTAGCTCCTTATATGGGTCGGTTGCCAGGTGTGCAGAATTCCCATGCAAAAGTAGTTACAGAAGCTGAATCAAGCAGGTTAATTATTTCTGAGGGGAGTGGGATTTCCATGTAAGCAGTTCCATTACTAAATAAAAGGGTTTCGGGCTAGTTAGCAAAGACAGCAGCAGGTACAGGATATCGTCCCAGATACGGCTTTCTGTATGGCTAGCATGATCTAAAATAGCTCATGGGAAGAGCAAGCAGGTTTACAGAAGCAGACAGCCATGTTAGGATAAGAGAACAAAATGGACGAACAGTTGCTCATGTGTAAGATCTAATATTGCTTCCTTGAGAAAATAATTGGACCATAAACCAGCTGTTTATATAGATTGTTCTTGGGAAGAAATAATGATTGTAGATGAAACACTTTTTTTGTAGGTAGAAGGTTTTCAAATAGTACCAAAAGAAATCATGTATCTTTTTTTATAGTTTGTTAATGTCCGTTTAATTTTAAATAGATGATAGTTACATGGTCCCAAGATGGGAATAGTACAGTACAGTAGACACTGAGAAATGTAACTTTTACTTACACTCTGTTTCTGTCTACTCCAGCCATTCTTGATAGGTAATCATCTCTGCAAGTTTTGGGTGTAACCTTCTGCCATTTTTTTTAGGTTTTTGCCATATGGCCCATGCATTCACCCCGAAGAAAGGGAGCGAGACAGAGAGAGAGACAATGAGAAATCGTCCCTCAGGGAGGATGGCCACGCTGCAATCTCATGTCTTCTATTATCTTCTTGAGATTTTGAGAATACACACATACATGCCTGGTGTGAGTTTCAAGCCACCAGGTGACTATTGAGAGTCCAGGCCTTAACCACAATGCCACCTACTGGACCTTCTACTGTTTCTTTATGTAGAATCAAGCAAAAAAAAAAAATTCATATTTCCTTCCTTTGGTAGTAGATAGAACGTAGCACACAGCTATGCTTTTCTCCAGCCCACCTTCTCAGTTAATAATGTACCTTAGAGACCTTTCCATAGAATAGAAAACACTTCTTCATACCACATCATATCCATTGTATGAACATGTTACAGTTTATATATATCCAGCCCCTTACTGATGTACACTAAAATTTTTACCAACTTTTTGCTATTCTAAATGATATAAATATTTTTACATTTTTTTTACTTGTATGCAAGAGTATTTGCAGAATAAATTACCATATGTGGGATTTTTGGGTGAAAAAGTAAGTGCATTTGGGAGAGGGTTTTTTTGGGGTTTTTTTTGATTTTTTTGTTTTGTTTGTTTGTTTGTTTGTTTGTTTTGCTATAGGGCACATGCGCTTGCCAGACAGAGAGAGATAGAGAGATAGAAAGCGAGAAATCACCCCCAGAGGAGATGGCCAGGCCACAATCCCTACTCCTCCATTCTCCTCTTGGGATCTTGGGCATGCACGCACATGCACCCGGTGTGAGTTTTAAGCCACCGGGTCCGGGATGCGAACCGTGGTCGACTACGTGGGAGTCCAGTGACATAGCCATTACGCTAACTGCTGGTCCCGAAAAAGTAAGTGCATTTGTAATCCATATAAATATTTTCAAATTGCCTCTCATAAGGGTTATAGCACTTTACACTTCTATCAATAATCAACATGTAATAGTGACAATTTCACCAAAAACTTACCATTAGAACAATCTTCTGTAATTCAACATTTTCCAGTCAAATTGATGAAAAGCAGTATTTCAATGTAGTTTTAGTTTGCATTTATCATTTTAACTTTTTTCCCATAACACTCGTGTTGTTAAACATTTGAAGTTTTTTCCTCCGAACTATCTATTACTTGCTCGTTTTTTATGGGTTCTGGATTATCTTTGCATTGATTTCTAAGAAGTTACCACATATTAATTAGCCTTTGTGATAAAAGTTGCAAATATTTTTTCCAGATTATCACTTATATTTTAATTTGGGTTATATTTGTTCATACAAGTGACTTTTCACTATGTAGTTCCCCCCCCCCCAGATCATAAGTTATGGTTGGAAAATCAATAAAAGGATGCACCATCTGGTGCAATAATGTCTAAGTCACTCAACAGCAGGCTAAATTTTAAGGGCTTTCTTGTGCAAGGAAAATAAAATAGCTACTTACAATGAAATTTGTTTCTACTCTTCAGGAAAGAGAGGGAGGAGAATATGGCCGTGGTTAGGGTGTAGGGTGTTAGGGTGTTTTACAATGCATGTGAATGTTTCTGAGACAATCTCTATCAATCCAACCTCCAGCTCCATTACCTGCCATTCCTTAGATCAGCAAGCGGAGAGCTGAAGACACCTGTGGCCTTCCCTCACTCCACATCCATTCCTGGAAATATGCCAAGTTCTCAGTCATCATTGTTTCTAGACCTAGAGAAGCCCTCACCCTCTGGAGTTCATGTCAATTCTCCTGAAAACTCCAGACCCCAGTTGACCACCTAGAGGTTCAGAGTTGGCTAAAGGGACAGAGCCTGGGTACTGAGGAGCTCATTCCTGAATGAAAACTGTGCCCTCTGAGTGACGCACACCTGGGGTAGGACCAGGGTAGATGAGGGTAAAGAGGGGTGTTCTTGACACGTGGTTCCCCACTGTGACGACAGCTTGAAGAAGGGCAGACACTGGGGAAGCCAGCCTCTGTGGCAGATGGTCTCATGAAGACAGAACTCTGGGTAGCTAAGGGTATGGGGGTGAGGAGGGTGCCCCTGGCCTGGTGCATACACCACAATACCTTGCACAATGAGAATGATGTCACCTACCCTGTCCTTCACTCCTCTCAGAGGAGCAGCTGCTCTGGTGGCTTCTTCCAGGGGCGGGCTTGTGGGAGGGGCCGTTTTTGTACAACGTTGTAACATTGTGGGGACAGGGGGGGCACGGTGATTCAACTCTATGGGAAACCTTTACAAAAACCTTTCTGCTGTCCTGACACTCGTAATCCCGCCCCTTCCCCACCTGGATCACAGGCCCAAGTGTGATTTGATTCAGAATGCTTGTACCTTACCCACAACTACAGGTCAGGCCAAGGTTCTAGACAAGGTCAGGCACTAGGTAGACCTGGGGATTCCCAGGCAGGGAGAATCAGGTATGAGAAGATTTCCTGAGGGACCCAGGGAGATGCCTCTATTGCATTCCCCACAGAACCAGACAAGTAGGAGGGAAGGTGCATTGGAGATGATCAGTGCCCCGCAGGGTGTGAGAATACAGATATCCCGGCCCTCAATGGATGCAGTCCCAGGTCTGGACCATGCAGCCTCACCCCCTCAGGGAGGGAACATTTGTACAGGGCAACCTTCAAGAAAGGACTTAGGAGCTCTGAATGGACTTTGCTATATGCTCTGTGGTTCTAAGAGTCAAAAATCAAGCTGGACTTGTATGCAATATATATAAAGCATATTAGGGGATTTCTCTTATCCCAGGGTCTTTCAGACACTAGCAGGGCCTCCTCCCTTCTCTCCTCTCTCCACGCTTGCATTTGTTTTCTTCCCTGCCCCATGCCACTGTGTGAACACTGAAGTCTTCTTTGGAGAAGGCACCAGGCTCACAGTTATAGGTAAGATATTTTTCAGGTACATGTCCGGGTCCTTTATAGAGGACGAGGGGTCAAAATTGTCCATTTTAGAGCGGCCCTGTTCTGATGTGCTATGACTATCACTTTGGCTCAGGGACCCGGCTAACGGTTATAGGTAAGTCTGGGTGCCCTTCGCTGGGGCACAATGAGGGAGGACTCTGTCCTGGAAACAGCCAAGAGAAGAGAGGACCCAGCTCCACAATCTGGGATGAGGGATGAGGGAGGTGTCATCCATGCCTGGGATCCAGTTTAGGGGAGTCTCCATGTGTGAACGAATCTACCCAGGCAGCCTAGAGATTTTCAGCAGAGTGAGAGCTGAGCCTGGGGCGACAGGGCAGGGAAGGGGAAGGAGCTGGTACTCTCTCTCCAAGTCAGAGAGACAGAGCAAGGGAGAGAAAGTCCAGAGGGTGATTAAGAGCTGTGACACCTGTCCGTCTTCACTGACAGAGGCCCGGAGGAGCCTCATAGCTCCCCTTGCTCGGGATTTAAAGGAAGCCATGCTACGTCCCCTCTTCCCACCAGTCCGGGTCCTGGGAGAGCTCTGGAAGGGCGCCCAGTGTTTGAAACAGAGCAGAGGCTGTGCAAGGGAGGAGATCCGTAAGCCCCATCCTCTCCCTGCATCCCAGCTGTGCTCAGCAGATAATGGGAGGTTTTGAAGTGGACCCTGGAGGCTGTGTTCTGGAAACACCCTCTATTTTGGGGAAGGAAGCCGACTCACTGTTGTAGGTAAGTCAGGGCTGGAACTTGTAAGAAAGGGCCAGAATCCAGACGGAGCATCTATCTTGGGCACTTGAGTTAAAGCACGTTTTTGTCAGGAAGATGTGAATTCGTGTCCTGATGCTGAAAAGGAGGGGCAGCCTCCCTCTTCACTATTTCCTAGAGCGGCTGTGCCAAGCCTGAGTTCCCCTCCTGGAAGGCAAGTAAACTCATCTCGGGGGCGGGAAGGGGGGGCTGAAGGAAGTCAGGTTGTCCATTTCCCATCTCCCTGCAGGGTGCCCATTGTGGCCATGATAGGTGGGAGCCCTCACAACTGTCACAGTTCTACCATTTTTCTCTGTTAAGTAAAAAAGGAAATGAACACAGGACAGGGGATGTGGGGCATCCACCAGGGTCTAAGGGGCCCTCTGTCCACAGCATTTCAGGTTGTGCCGTTGTCCACCTCTCTGCTCCTACAATGAAAATTCTATGAAGGAGGGGGGAGCAGGTGGGCGAGGAGAGGAAGGAATGACAGGCGGTGGGTAGCAGTTTTCCTGCCAGGCTTTAATGTTGTGCGGGTAATGAGAAACTGTTTTTCGGCAGCGGAACAAAGCTCTCTGTCTTGGGTAAGTGAAAGGCTTCTTTGGGACAGCTTATTGTAAGGTTGGAGTTCCAGGAATACTCCAGCAGGGACCAAGAACACAGCCAAGAAGAGGCTCAGAGTGTGAGTGTGGGATGAGCTATGGTTTCTGGAAGGACAGGCCTGCACCAGGTGGGCTGGGGTTTGCCACACTCCTATCTTACTGTGCAAAACCAGGCACAGCATTTTGGAGCGGGGACTCGGCTCTCTGTCCTTGGTAAGCTGCTAGACCGGGGGTAAGGGCTGAGCAAACTCACCCTGTGGGAGTTCCATAGAGCTGGGTCTGCCATTGCCTTGGGTGCAACTTGGTGCAACTCTCTGTTTTTCTTCTCTAAGTCTTCATTTGTAATCTGCCTCCTCGCTCCTTTCACGGTCCATTTTCCTTCACATATGCATGGATTTGCCCCTGCTGAGCCTCTTCCTTCTGTCTCTCTTGCCTCATGGCATGCTTAGGCCTTTTTCCTGATAGGATTCCTTTAGTCCTGGCATGGATCCCGGCAGAAAAAGGTGGCCATGAAGTCCACTCCCGGGGAGTAAGATCAGCCCTCTGGCCGGCAACCTTTGGGAGGGTTGTACCTAAGCCAGCTGCGGCTGTGCTCCTTTAATTCACCCCTGCACTTTGAGATTGCACCAGGCTCACAGTAACAGGTATGGGGGTCCATTCTTCACTGGGGGATGCCTGGGTGTAAAGATAGAGGTCAGTCACCCCTCCCCACTGGGACCCTATTCCTCCCCCCCTTCCTGGGGCTTCTCCAGTGCATTCTGCTGTGTTTGCTGTGGCCTCACTCCAGTAGAGCTGGCTCCTTGCTGTGTCTTCAGGGCTTTGTGTTTTCTCCATCCTTTTTTCATTGTTTTCTGAGATTCCTCTCAAATCTACTGTCTTAGTGGGTATGTTGTTTTACTTTCCCTTTTAAAGCTCTATCTTCTCCATTTTCCCTTCACATTCTCACTCTAATTCTGCATAATTGACTATTTTGGTGAATATTTCTGTCTTCTGTGTTAAAATCCTTGCCAACAACTACCTCCAGACAGTGTTCTGCTCTAGTCTTCATCTTCTTTCTGTCTCTGCTAGTCTCTGAAGACCCACATTTGTTTTTTCCTGGGGTGTTGGGGACCAGGTTGGTGATGCCAGTTGGTTTGAGGGTGGCTCCCAAGGCCAAAGGGCAGAAGACCATGGCATGGTACTGTGGGAGCTGCAGGGAGGCTCTGGGGTGCACTGTGGTTGGTGGGTGTCAGAGGAAAGGTTGAACAAACTGTCAAAGGTGGAAATGTATATGATCTTAGCCGCAGATAGGTGTAAAAAAGAGAAAACAGGCCAGAGACCCCATTTTCTCAAACCTCAGAATCTGTGCTGGGATAGTAGAGTAAAGAGCACATCTGAAAAATACCCTAACACATCTATCACCACCCTTGGGAGGAGGCAGACAGGTGAGTGGAGTGGGGTTGTAGTGGAATGGGATTTGGACGAGGGATATAAACAGGACTGAAAGAATGGGACATATTTCTTAGGGCAGCTCCATTGCCTACTAATTAAGAGCCCCAGATCCTGTAAGGCCAACAGTGGAGTTCAAATCCTAACAACAGTAGCTTGAAAAACATGCTGGGCATGTGTACATGAATGCCCCAAATCTTGGCAGGGTGAAGAATTGGAGAAGGAATTGCAGTATGACTGTGTCAAGGGGGTAGAAGTGCTTCTTTCTCCCTCCCTCTCTGGTCTCTGTATTTCTGTAGCATGTGTGCATGCCCTCTGGTAGAAAGAAAACTAAAGGCAGAGAGAGAGTTTCTCCCTCCCTCTCTGGTCTCTGTATTTCTATAGCGTGTGTGCATGCCCTCTGGTAGAAAGAAAGAAAAGTAAAGGCAGAGAGAGAAAAAAAAAAGAGAAAGAAAAAGAAAGAAGAAAGAAAGAGAGAAAGGAAGGAAGGAAGGAAGGAAGGAAGGAAGGAAGGAAGGAAGGAAGGAAGAAAGAAGGGAAGGAAGGAAAAGAGGAGAGAACAGAAAGAAGGCAGGAAGGATTTCCAATCTTAGATACAATGGGCTTGCCTCATTTCTACACCAAAGCTCACTCCAATGGTCAGAACAGAGCCAAATGGATGGTAGAGTGAATTCTGGCAAAGGGAGGCTATGTGAAGGGTGGATGTGGTTTCTTCTACTCCTCACATGTATTTACATGAGATCATTTCTTCCAGTAACCCCAGATCAGTCTCTGCTATCAAGTATGTGAAGGCTTAGGGTTTTGCCATGTGAACCCTCTTGCAGTAGCCTAAAAATCTTACCATTTGTTCATGCCTCACAGTCAAGCCATTACTACTTTTAAGAATGCAAAGCTTGGCTACGAACTAGGATTTCAAATTTTGCCATGGAGGTGTTCTTGACACGGAAAGGAAGAAAGGGATCAACCCACCAACAGTATCTTCCACAGGATTACTGCTATCCAGAACAAGCTTGCACATTCCCCTTGAGTCGCAGTGAAGGAGTGAATGTGGAACATCAGATAGAGTAGTCGCTAGAGGCAACCTGCCTCCTCAAAGCAGGTTACTTATGGACAAAATAATAGTCAACTGGATATAGTAATATAAAAACACCGTCAGAAATAATGGGAACAGTGTCTCTCCTAGGCAAAAGAGACTAATTCTGACATGTAGTATTAATCAACAAACACATACATTGCCCAAAGGAAAAAAAAAAGATAAAAATGATAGTTAGAAAAAAATCCATTTATCAATAGTTGCTATGATCATGCTGCTAATGAGAGTTTTCTGCCTTGAAATCTAGGCTCATGCAACTCCTCCATGACTGCTTCTAAGTCTAAAAGATGAGATAGTCATGAGCCGAGCTGAGCTTTGAACAAAGAAGAAAGGTAGACGGGTAGACTCTTTTGATAGATGATCAAACAAGTTCCAGAGTACGAGACATTGCAAAGAAATGCAAGAAAATTAGGACACAAGGCCAACTTACAGGGATGGGGAGATAATAGGCAGAGTGTGTCCAAAAGAATAACTCCAAAAAGAGTCACAAAGCTAAGGGAGAATAAGAGAGACTAAGACAGAGACCCCAACACAAATGGACCTACTGGGACATTCTTTAGCTTCATGGGGTTCCCTTCTGGGCTCTCTCTCTCTCCCCCTCTCTGTCTCTCTCTCTCTCTCACACACACACACACACACACACAGCCCCGATGAGGCCCAGGCAGCCTTCAGAGCAGCCCAGGGCCCAATGTCTCTTCATTTTCCAGAGGACCTGAGCAAGGTGACCCCACCCACGGTCACCGTGTTTGAGCCATCCGAAGCAGAGATCAACCGCACCAGCAAGGCCACACTGGTGTGCCTGGCCACGGGCTTCTACCCCGACCACGTGGAGCTGAGCTGGTGGGTGAACAGGAAGGAGGTGCACAGTGGGGTCAGCACGGACCCTCAGCCCTACAGCGAGAAGCCCGACAACTCCAGCTACTTCCTGAGCAGCCGCCTGAGGGTCTCGGCTGCCTTCTGGCACAACCCCCGCAACCACTTCCGCTGCCAGGTCCAGTTCTTTGGGCTCACAAAGGAAGACAACTGGACCCTGACCAGGCCCAAACCCATCACCCAGAACATCAGTGCTTCGGCCTGGGGCAGAGCAGGTGAGTGGGGTCTGGGCGGGGCACAGAGATTGAAGCTGACCAGCCACCAGAGGGAAACGGGAAGATCCAGGTAGTTCCAAGATGAGACTAGATCCAGAAGAGGCCAGAGTAGATGGGAGGAAAGAGCGAGGTTCATGATGTCAGCAAGGCCCGGGGGGCACCTCTTATCCATGGTGCAGACACGGCGGATGAACAGGGCACCTCAGCTCATTCCTCCCCCAGGTCCTCAGCCCCTCACATCTGCCCAGAGAGACCCCCCTCACGGCCAGTCTGACAGTTCAGCATCTGAGCATGAGTGGGCTCTGATACGCTCACTGTCCTGGTTTTCTGAGTCATAATGACGTGTCCAGGCACCGGGCAGCACCAGGGCCATCAGAGGAGGCTGACATTGCACCGTCTGCTGTGCACGTGTCTGTGGCCTGTGATCTAGGGCTGTAAAGTCTGTGATGAGAGGCTCGGGGTCCTCAAGTAGTGACATGGTTTTATCCATCTTTCTTCTCCCTTTTTCTTTCAGACTGTGGCCTCACCTCAGGTAAGTGAGTTTCTCCTTTATCTCTTCATCTTCCCGTCTGTACTATGGAACCAAGTTATGGAGACTTCCTGGACCCTGGAGGTGGGGGGCGCCATAGCAACCTGTTCACAGGTGCTGCTATCTCTTCTTGCCAACAGCATCCTACCAGCAAGGGGTCCTGTCTGCCACCATCCTGTATGAGATCCTGCTGGGAAAGGCCACCCTGTATGCTGTGCTGGTCAGCACCCTTGTGCTGATGGCCATGGTAAGGAGGAAGCAGGCTGGGGAGGGCAGGCTGGAGGTGACACAAGACACCTAACAACTCAGAGCCAGGAGTTTAGAGACCTGCCCAGGACTAGAGGTGGGCAGTAGGGAAGGAAGGGTTTTATTCATATGCCTCAAAAGATAGCTTGCACCTCTGTGGGGTCACAGCAATAGCTGAAACTCAAGGGGTATTTTGGTAATCTGTGCTATTTTGTCCATGGGCACCCCTATTTCCTCTCTATCACTACGACCTCTGGCTCCAGGTAACCCTGAAAACTATCTCTTCTTCAGGTCAAGAGGAAGGATTCCTGAAGTCAGCTCGAGATGGATCCAGGAGCGTCTGACCCATAGTGGGATTAACATGGACTCTCGTTTTGCTAATGCTTCTATGCTATTCTCATCTCTCTACTCATCCCCAAATCTACCCCATGTGCACACATACCTGCATAATCAGACCCCAATCTTCCTAAGCTAAGAGGATCCTGGCACATTTATGTCACTGAACCAATAAAAATGTCTTGGTTTGCTTGACTTTTGCTTGTGAGTGTCTAAATATCTCTTCTTCCCATCTCTGAAATCCCTTGACTTTCCTCAACCAGTTGGAATAGAAACAGGTGTTCAAGGTAAGTGCAGGCCCCTCAGGTTAGAGGAGTGAGGGACCCACCCTGTGATGGACAGGAGAGGCTAATTTAACTTAAAAGGCACTGACGGGGGCCAGCAGGTGACATGGTGGTTAAGGCACTGGACTCCCACATGGTCGACTTTGGTTTGAGTCTTGGTGGCTTGCTTTCTCACTCCCCCTACCTCTGTGTGTTTCTTTCTGGTAAATTTAAATAATATTAATTAATTAATTTTTAAAAGGCAGTGGTGGGACCTGAAGAGGTTACTTCCAAATCAATCTAGAAAGAGACATGAATTGATAATTTTCTTTCCTGCCCAGGACAAATGTGATCTGAAGAGCAGCTCTCTTGCACAGGTGTATCAACCTGCCAACTGATTGTATCTCGTGTCTAGCAAAATTTAGTTCATATAGGAAAGATGTTCAAACTTTCATGAAAAGACATTTATTATGAAAAAAAAAACTATACGTGTATTTCGAAATTTAAGACACTAAAACAAACTCAGGCTTCAATTCCATTTTTCCATAAACTTTTTTATAATACGCATTTTCCATGAATGTTTGAAGACCCCTCGTAAATGACCCACCAGCCTTTCGACTGTCTTACCAAGCAGACTGCTCATCTTCATTAGCTTGCCTCACAGGTTTCCCAGCTAAGAGGGGGCAGGATGGGGAAGGCAGGTTTATTTATTAATTATGGGTGTAAAAATGTCTCTTGATGACTCCTGGAAATATAAAAATAAAGTTCCCTAAAACCAAAAATGAGCTCTACTTTTACTTCCAGAACCCCTTCAAAAGCTCTCTCTTGCCTCACTGTCACCATGGGGGTGTAGTCCCAAGTCATTAACGTGGCATCTAAGACCCAACACCTCCTTTTCCCCAGTGCCCTCACTTCTCTCATCCCTGAGTCCTGAACTTCTTGCTATAAGGCCATTTGGCACATGCTCCTTGTCCATCCTCCTTAGCCTTAAAGATTTGGCTCTGCTATCGTTCCCTTTGAAAGCTTTCTCTGGCCTTTTATTACCCCTTCCTCACCTCTTACTCCCCTGAGGCTGGATTAAATACACCTTAGATTTTGCTCTCACAGCGCCTTGGGCCTATCTCCATGCCACGTAGTACATTTAGCAAAACCTTGTTTACTTGTGTGACACCATTTGACTGTGAGCTCCTTGATAACAAAGATGTGTTTTATGATAGTATCCCTGGGATATGGCCAGGGACAGTACTTAGTTCAGTATAGACCACAGGTAAGCATCTGAAATAAATGAATCAATAAATGAGTGAACCCAAAGTGACTCAATTCAAGAGTAGTCATCACCATAAGCCTGCCTGAAATAACCTTCCATTTACAGGACTACACCACACAGCCTTCCCTCTCTACTGTAACACACAGATGCCGTCAAAGAAGTGTGCGTGTTTATACACATGTACATGTGCACATGCTCATATATTCTTCTTTTTTTTTTGGGGGGGGGAGTCTTTGCTATAGGGCACTCACCAGAAAGACAGAGAGACAGAAAGGTAGAAATCACCCCCCAGGGGGAATGGCCATGCCACAATCCCTTCTCCTCCATTCTCCTCTCTGGATCTTGGGCATGCACGCACACGCGCCCAGCATGAGTTTAAGCCACCGAGTCCAAGACTCGAATGGTGGTCGGCTACATGGAAGTCCAGCGACATAGCCATCATGCCAACTGCTCGTCTCCATATATTCTTGAAACATCTATAGCTGCAGTGTGTTGATATCAGCATCCAGAAAAATAAAAGTACCCAAATCATGATCCCTAACAAGCCAATCCATTCATAAAGGGGTAAGGCATGAACAGAATGAGCTGAAATATGAGGGGACATCAAAAAGTTTATGGAACAATGAAATTAAAATGAGTTTAGGGGCCAGCAGGTACTGTAGAAATTAAGGTGCTGGATCCCACATGGCTGACTATGCAGTACAAGTCCCAGATCTAGCTGCTTGAAAATCACATGGGGTGCATGTGCATGCATCCTCGAAATCCCAAGAGGAGAATGGAGAAAGGATTGCACCCTATAGCAAAAACAAAAACAAATAAACACATTTTGGTGCAAAATATATTTGAAATCTATGTGTACATAGATACATTTCCATGAACTTCTCAAAGACGCTCCTGTACAAGACAATGCTTTGAAATAGAAACAGGAGCCATATACAACAGAGCAGGCAGAGAGTAGCATGCAGGTTCTGACTGAGACAATCAGGGTCTGAGAAGGTAGCAAATGTTTTGGTGACAGTGGTCTCAGCTCTCCCTCCAGAAAATGGTCGTCCCAGTTACAGGCAGGAACAGAAGTCCAAACAACATGGTGGGGGCAATTCTGAGTATGTCTGTACAGCTAAATGCAAGGTTCAGAGAGGGGGAAATAATCAAAAATAAGGATTAAAAGGCAGATTGGTGCATGCCACCCTGAGAATGGAGTGGTGGTCCTTGCAAGCAGCGTGGGGCCTAGCACACAGTAGAGATTCACTAAATATGGTAGAACAAATGATGTTACGGAGTTTGGACTTTGCTCAGGAAGCAACGGGGAATCATAAAGGTTTCAAAGCTATCTGTCCTTGCAACATAAGTGCCATCGGCCCTTGCGTGGATTCCCCTACTAGACCTGCCCTTCCAGCCCTTGCTCCTCCCACCCACCTCACTATAAATGCCAGTCTGAGCAGGTGTGCACAGTGAGCCCCAAATGGAAGACCTAGTGACATACATGGTCTCCATGGGGTGGTGCCCGTTCTGGAACGTTCAGGGGAGAAGTTCTCTGTCCCCATCAACACCATGACCTCCCACAAGCCCCTTTCCACTTTAAACTACGTCCTTGTCCTTTCCCAGCCTCACACAATGAGATCAGCCTCTGCCACCTGTGCTTCCTGACTTTGCCTGCTGGTTGGGGGCCAGGGATCAAGGGGGAGGAAGCATTTTTGTACTGTGGTGTAACATTGTGGGAACTCAGGGGGCACGCTGATTCAAGCAGAGGAGATGCTTTTACAAAAAGCCATGCCCAGAAAATATCTCCGCCCAGTTACTGGAAGACAGGAGGTTTCTGACGCTAGTCTCTGCCAACGTCTCGCAGGGGCCTGACCTCAGCCAGTTCCTGAATGTCCCCCTGCTCCAGTCTCAGCTCCCCAGGAGCATGAAGGCCAAGGCAGCCAAGCACATCAACCTTCAGCACTCTTCAGGAAACCTGCCCTTGATAAAGTACTTGCACATGCATAGGCTGCTAAGGACTCCCAAAAATCTCCTGGGAGAAATATTATCCCATTTCTCAGATGGAGAAACAGATCCATGGGAGTGGTTACAGATCTCTAAGTAGTAAGAGGCAGGGTCTAGCCTGTAACACTTTCTAACTCCAGCCTTCCCCACCACCCACATACCCCTTCAGATTCAAAGTCTACTGCTGTCCCCAAGCCAAGTTGATTCTCCTCTGCAAATTGGTGGTGATGTCATGCAGTGTCCAGACTCTGTCCAGCTAATTCAGCAGGTGGCAAGTCCAGAGAAAAGTCCAGAAAGGGGTAGGAGGAGGCTGTGCCCTCAGCCTTTGGTAAGGACAGCGAGGAGGGGGAGGAATTCTTGGCGGCTCCTTCCTGCTGTGCTCCTATGGTGCTGAGCAGCACTTTGGCCAGGGGACGAGGCTCACTGTGCTGGGTAAGAAGGCCGCTCTGGGAGGGGAAGGGAGAGCCGCCCAGCTGAGGACCCCCTCCCTGATCCCTGGCTGTGAGGAGTGGGCGCTGGGTCATTAAGACCCTGGGTCGGGAAGGGCGGGGTTTGCGCTGGGGTCCCCAGGGCTGTGCGAACACCGGGCAGCTGTTCTTCGGGCCTGGCTCCAAGGTGACAGTGCTGGGTAAGGAGGGAAGCCGGAGGAGCGCTCGGTGGGGTGGTGGATTGGTGGCCACTGGGCTGAGCGGGCCGAGGGGCGCCAGGGCTCGGGGACTTTTGGTTCTGAGAGCTGGGAGAGCCATGGAGTGCTCGGGGTTGGTGGGGGACCAAGGCTAGTCTGGGGCAACAGGAGGGGACAGCGCGGGTTTTTGTCCTTGGCCTCGAGGCTGTGAGCACAGACACTCAGTATTTCGGGCCAGGCACGCGGCTGACAGTGCTGGGTAAGCCGGGATAGGGGTTGCCCCGAAGCCGGGAGCGGGCGTGAGGGCGCTCTGGGACCCCGGGGTCAGCGAGGCCTGTTTTTGTGCCATGCCGGAGGACTGTGAGCCAAAACACTCAGTACTTCGGCGCAGGCACTCGGCTGTCGGTGATCGGTAAGCAGGGACCGGGGCGGCGCTGGTTTTTGTGCTGGGCTCTAGCCCCGAAGCCGGGAGCGGGCGTGAGGGCGCTCTGGGACCCCGGGGTCAGCGAGGCCTGTTTTTGTGCCATGCCGGAGGACTGTGAGCCAAAACACTCAGTACTTCGGCGCAGGCACTCGGCTGTCGGTGATCGGTAAGCAGGGACCGGGGCGGCGCTGGTTTTTGTGCTGGGCTCTAGTGCCGTGAACCAAGAGACCCAGTACTTCGGGCCAGGCACGCGGCTTCTTGTGCTAGGTGAGCGGGTGGCCGCGCGGGCTGCAGCGGGGCCGGGTTTTGTGG